TTGCTATTGCTATTGCTAATGAAAGAGGAAAATTTTAGTCCATAGGTTACAGAGAATAATAAAAGAAAAAAAATAGAAGAAGAAAACTTAATCCATTCGTTGTAAAAGGCTTGCATAAATGCCATCCATGAAGATAGCATTTAAAAAGTAAGATAACCCACTGTCCAAAACCATTCCAAATTTAATTCCGCCGCTTATTTCTTCTGTTCTCCAATTTAAATTTTAAGTTTTTTATAGGCAGTCTCTTTTTAAAACGGTAAAAATTCCTCACCAGCTGGAAACACTTTCTCTTTCCGTATCCTTCCGTTTTGGAGCCGCCCTGACATTATCAGCCTTGGCTGGATTCTTTATCGCTGGCTTGAAGAACTTCTCTTGCATCGATCAGGGACTTTGCGATGTCCCTGAGATCAGCAAGACGTATTCTTCCTGTTCATTGTCTCTATGGGACAGTTTAGGTCTGATTGGACCACCTAGCGGCAAAAGTATCGGCTGCGGTCTCAGAGCATCGCGACATTGGCTCCTCCCCCCTGAAGTGTATTTCTTGAGAAGTCAGACACACCAATACTAGTGAAGACATGCCAGAATCTTGATATGAAGAGTTAAGGCTTTGAAGAAGTTGTGGATTTTAACTTGTTGGGATGAGGAGCATTAAGCAAATCTGCCAGTGAAGAAAAAGAAGTTATTTTAACTTCAGCATTGTCTTCCTTTTTCCTTTCACTCCAGGACTCCCTTCATGTGATTGAAGAGGCTCTGGTGGATCGATCTGTATATGGAGCCAAGCCGTTCACCAAATTCCAATTTGAGCGGCTGGGGTACTTTTCACTAGATCCTGACAGCACAAATGCAAAGGTAGGTTCCACAAAGTTGCAAGAGCTGGAGGAGACTTTTCTGATAAAGCAACTTTCTTCTGTGTAGAAGCCAGAAACTAGAACTAGAATTAGAACTGGAATTCTTTATTGGCCAAGTGTGATTAGACACACAAGAAATTTGTTTCCGATGCGTAAGCTCTCAGTTTACATACAATAGTGAAAAGCAACAAAGTTATAATCATAAGAACATAAGGAGATAGGTAAGAGGGAAGATGAGAATGATGATGGTAATACTGACTTTTTAGATAGTTTGACAGTGTTGTGGGAATTAGTTGTTTAGCAAAGTGATGGCATGGGAGGGGGACTGTCCTTGTGTCTAGTTAGAACAACTAGACACAGGGCAGTGCAGTGCCCTGTAGCATCATTTTGAGGGTATAAGTTTAAACTGTTTATGTCCAAGATGCATGGGGTCTGTAGATATTTTCACACCCCTCTTTGTGGCTTGTGCAATATACAGGTCCTCAAAGGAAGGCAGATTGGTAGCAATTGTTTTTTCTGCAGTTCTGATTATCCTCTGAAGGCTGTGTCTGTCTTAATTGGTTGCAGAACCAAAACAGACAGTTATAGAGGTGCAGATGACAGACTCAATAATTCCTCTGTAGAACTGTATAAGCAGCCCCTTGGGCAGCCTGAGCTTTATGAGTTGGCACAGGAAGAACATTCTTTCTTGTGCTTTTTTGATGACGTTTTTAATGTTAGGTGTCCATTTTAAGTCTTGAGATATGATAGAACCTAGAAACTTGAAGGTCTCTACTGTTGCTACTGTGTTGTCTAGTATTGTGAGTGGTGGTAGTGTAGGAGGGCTTCTCCTAAAATCTACTATCATTTCTCCATTTTTAAACTATGCTGCCACTGTCATTTTTTGCCTGGGCCTAATGGCTCGCTCCCACCAGTACCAAGCAGGCCACACTGAGGCAGCCAGTGAAGCCATCTCTCCCACATTCTTGTGGGCCAGATGATTACAGTACATTTCTTTTTGGGACCATGGGGCAGATTGATATGGATTATAGGCCAATTTTGGCCCATGGGCTGTAGGTTGCTGACCCCCGTTTACAAAGTTTTAGGAACAGGAAGGAAGGGTCATTCTCTAAAATGGACATGAAGATGGAGGAGAGGATACTGATGGCTTCTTGTTTCTCCTACAGCTGGTGTTCAATCGGACAGTGACCTTGAAAGAGGATCCAGGGAAAGCATGATGGCGTTTCCCTAACAATATCTCAACATAGACAAAATTGCTCGGATGTTATTTCTCCCTCTTTCTGTGGAGGGAGAGGGGGGCATACAGCCCAAGCCCAGTTTTCTACTATAATGCTACTGTTGCCTTAATGCATACCCTGAATACACAATCGATTGCACCAATAATCATCATAATAAAAATAAGCTTGGAGAAATTCTGTGTGGATGATGATGATGATGGGATGGGAGATTGTGGGTGCAATGGGATAGCAGTCAAGATCATTCAGACAGCCTTTGATGTTCACCTTTGCATGATCAACTTTCCCATGGCAGAAATAAAAAAAGAGCATTTACACTATACAGGGGTCTGGCAAAAAGGAGTTTGTTCACTCACCTCTTGCAAAGCCGCCAGCCAGTTTTAACACTGAGTTTGAGTAAGCCCATTCTCACATTTTCTAATAATCTATTTTACATGTTTTTATTAAAAATAGTTTTCCTATAGTATGATGTGATATATTATTCTCTTTCTTTCCATACTCTTATCTTCTCTCTCTGTCCACTTTCTCACCATACAGGACCAACTACTTAAATTCAAGAATTAGAAACTGTGGGAATATTGGAAATTATATCATTAAAATGTAGGGGGGAAATTCCACATTTTAAAAGGATCTTTAGAAACAGCAATGGACAGCAGCACCCATTCATCCATTTCTTTCTTCAATGTCTTCTTAAAGTTTTTAATATAGAATAGAATAGAACAGAAAAGAACAGAATAACACAGTTGAAAGGGACCCTGGAGATCCTCTAGTCCAACCCCCTGCTCAGGCAGGAACCCTATACCATTTCAGATAAATGGTTGTCCAAACTCTTCTTAAAAACTTCCAGTGTTGGAACACCCACAACTTCTGGAGACAACTTGTTCCACTGATTAATTGTTCTGCCAGGAAATTTCTCCTTAGTTCTAAGTTGCTTCTCCTCCTAGGGAAGCTAAATTCACTTAACACTGGGTTACCAAATTATCAACTGAGGCAAGATCGTAAAATAGGGCAAACTTAACTTAGTTAACAACAGAAATTTTGAGCTCAATTGTAGTCATAAGGACTACCTGTATCTGTTCTTCTAGTTCAACTGACATCTCTTGTGCGACTACAATGTTATGCCCCCCCCCCCCAAAAGAGCACTTGATACAATGAAGGGATTCCAATAAGTCAGAATGTCTGTAGTTCACATTTAGGATTGTTGTGGCATCCTCGGAGTCACATGATCAAACTTTGGGTGCTTGGCAACCGACATGAATTTACGATGGTTGCAATGTCCTGAGCTCCCAGGATTGTCATTTGGAACCTTCCTTGGGAGCTTCTGGGAAGCAGAGTCAATGGGGGGTGGGTGGGGGGAGAGTCAGATTCACTTAACAACTACATGATTCCGTTAATAACTAGAGATTTGCTTAACAACAGTGGGGAATGATCATAAAATGGGGCATGGCTCACTTAACTCTTGATTTTGAGCTCAATTGTCATAATTCAAGGTCTACCTGTATTGTCAGCTTACTGATAATACCTATTTCCAAACTAATGGATAGCCTTCCCAATAGCCTCATGGCCTCAAATAGATGTTAAAGAGGAGTGATCTATCAGGCCCCCCAGGGGTTCTCAGTTGGACCTCTCCCCTCCTGTAAACATTGATCTGAACCATCTGCCCAGAAAGGAGAACTAGCACAACAGCGTGCTTGCCCACCCCACATCTCTACCCTACAGTGTCAGCAACCTGCTGCTCCCTGTTGCTCAAAATATGTCAGAACCGCCAATGTGTGACACCCGCCAGCACGCAATTTATTTTTGACCCCCAGCGGGCCAACCATGGATAAATCCAAGAAAAGTTTCAGAATAAAACAGAACCTTTAATTCAAAGTACATATGCTAATTTTGTGGGCGCTCAGGAAACGGGCATGAGAACAGCTTTGTGGCTCCCAATGTTTTCTGTGGGAAACAGGTCCAAATGGCTCTGACTGTTTCAGGTTGCCAACCCCTGCCCTGCAGCCAAATCAAAAGGATACCCCAATCAGTGATGAAACCATCAAAGCATCTGGGAGGACCAGAGCAATTGCACCCCTCTCTTCCTGGCTCTTAACAAAAGATCATTGGCAATGCTGCCTGTTCTTTACCTTAATAAAATAAGTTGTTAAAAATCAAACAAAGCTACAACCAACAAACCTGGCAGTTTCCTCTAGTGTAAAAAAATAGAGGGGGGGAGGGGAATTCTCATATACCATAGCTACTACCAAGAGAGACACAAAGACGACTATTGCTGCTGTGTGTGCATCTTATAAACAAAGCCAAGGATCCCCCAAGGGGCCAATCCGATCAGGAAACCTGCCCAAGCTAACGAAACGAGGACGGTGGGAAGTAAGGAAGGCGGAGGTGTAAGGTCGTGTGGACGAAACAAAAGCACCTCCAACCAGCGCTCAATGCACAAGCAACAATAGTAGGCCTAGATGATCCTACTCGTATGAATGCCGCAGACAAGCATAACTGATGCGCGAGTGCCCCAAATTTCGCTCTCCTTGCTGCTTCCTTTTGTGTATGCAAGCAGAAGCGATCAGGTGGCGCGGCTCCCCCTGGGAGAAACGCGGAGTGACCTTTTTTCTCCGACAGAGAAGGATTGAAGCGGTAAGGGAAATGAGCGACAACACCCGGCGACTCATCTGCACGTCTTTAGCGGCTGTTCTTCCAGGCTAGATCGCCGCCAGGGCCTGTCCTTCCACCGCTAACCTTTACCCTTCCGCGAAGCGGCGGGGCCCAGAGTTGAACTTGCTCTTTTGCTCGTTCGCGCTCCTCTCGCCCGCCCTCCTCCTCTTCTTCTCCCAGGAATGCTCCATCCCGGGTCGCTGCACCTTTAACGCCTTGCACATTTTCTGCTGTGTACAAACACCAAAGTCTAGACGGAAAGTTAGTAACTCTGGGCCCTATTTAAGGTGGACTGGACAGGGTTGCTTAGCCAGCGGGCTGAAAGTGTCGGGCTGTCTTGGCAGCACCGAAGCTACTATCCAAAGTAGACTAGGCATCTCTTGCAAAATCTCACTCCGGCTCCGGTGGTGCTGTGGGTAGAAGACTGAAGCAGAGTCTTTGGGTGGTGCGACCTGTGAAGCATCACCTGTTAAGGATGGCATCATGGGCCACCTTAAGGAGCAGTTGTTGGTGCTGTGAAGTGGGAGGTTGTTAGCGAGCACATGGGGATTTTAAAGCAGCCTGGTGTTGCCTTTAGCTAGGCTGGTCTCTTGGGGGCAAGAGACGAGGGACCCCTTCCTTGAAGGGGTTTTCCTCACTAGCAGGAATGAATGAATATCTGCTGCCAAAGGGCAAAATGTATATAGCTGGCATACCTCCGCTTTTGTCCTGAAGAAATCTGGTGGGCCAGGATAGTGAAACAATTAAATTCCTGCAGGAGATATCAGCCTGTGCCAGCATCATCTTCTCCCACAGTATTTGAATGTGTGCTGCAGAGCAGGTCCCCATTCTTTTTTTAAAAACCACTTTGTCTTTAAGAGTAGAATCTGCAGTATGCAAATTTTTTATTGTGTCTTCTAACAGCACTGAGAGGATATTCATAGCTAAGTCAGGGAAAGAGCTGAATGTAGAATGCAGCATGCATGAAAAGTAATTTTGAGTATATGCCATCCCTCCAAAATACCTTATTATCCATTTCCCTTTAATGTTCTGTCTGATAGGCTAATAAATTAATCCCAAGAAAAAAGGGAGTTTGCATTCTTTGGCTAAACAATTTTTGTTTTTAAATGGAAAGGCCAACCTTTGGTTAAGCTTATTAATTTCTCAGTGCTGGTATCAGATCTCTTTTCTGTGGTCAATCACTGGATTTTGCTTAGGGAAGATGTTTCCAGAAAAACAGCTGTGGTGCAATTATGTATCTGAACTGCAGCTTTTGGGATATGGAATATATGTACTTTTTAATAAGGTTGCGTTCCTGCATTTGACAGCTTGAGTCTTTTGGGGATTACTAATGATTTGGTTTTCTGCAGTTGGTTCAAAATTCTCTACAAAGCCCTTATTGCTGCCCAAATTTCTGAGATTAAAAAAATGTTACAATTTAATAGCACAAATGGCTCAATTAGGCTTACATGGGAGATACTCTGAGGTAAGTTTGCTGAGGGGGAAGTTTTTCTTTTCAAGAAAAAAGGGAGAAGAAATGCTTAGAAATTCTGTGCTAATTTCTGCTTTGTGATGTAGAATTTATTTGGCTACCTTGCAAATTTTCCCATTCCCCTGTATTAAGGCTGTTAGAAATGGTACTATGGTAATTTCCAGATGTTTTGTAAATTGTACTTTGTATTTAACATGAGCTGCATCCTACATCTGGATGTTTTTTTATTAGCATGCATTTCAAATGACCAAGCGGGCTTCCTGTAATTGCTAATAATATTAGAAAAAGGGAGGAACATTTTAAATTGTATGTAAACAAAGATGAACACACCGCCTTTTAACCTGTTAATTGATATATTTTGTTGTGCCTGAGGACAGGTTGTGTTAAACATTAACTTAGGAGAAATGTAGTATTATAAAGGTTCCCAAAAAACTGTAAAATAAAGTTTTCCTTTTTTTGTACAGGTATCCTTTCATTTCTGAGTCAGTTAGAATGTGGCCTAGTGAGATAGCCCTTCTAAGATGCCTCTATATGTTGCTCCAATTAGTAATTACCATAATGGAATGTTTCTCAAACATGAGAACTATATTTCTAAATCTTTTGACAAGGCTGTTCCTTTTTTGCCTACTAGAAAGTTTTTGCTCCCTCTCTACTCCCAGTGAGTTTCATGCACTTATCAATGATGTCCATTTATTCTGGCTTACTTTTTTTTTATAAATGGGGTTAGACCTGATGGTTACCTCTGTGAATTTAAGTTCCCACATTATAATCACAACAAAGGAATCACATCAATTATGTCTGAAGCAACCATAAATCTTTGGGTTATCAGATTTTAGCACAGGAATAAGAACTTTTGACTGTGTAAATTTTCCTAAGCAGAACTTCTCTTTGAACTCCTGTAGATTATTTTCTTAGTGCTGCTGAAATCTATTATAATGCTTCAGAACAGACACAACTTCAGTGAAAAGTGCTGATTGGAAGGTAATTTGCCAGAGTGGAAACAGCAGACTTTACCATTTCCTTCACTCCCAAATTGTAATTCATCTTAAAAGCATCACTCTGCTCTGCAATTACATTGCCAATATTAATATGCATATAGTATCTTGCTCATGGATTACAAATGTGGAGCTTTTCTTGGATGGCAAATCAATAGAAATATTCAAAATATTGAGTATGACACAGATAAAATATGAGCTCTGTTAGCCTTTAGTAGAGGTGTTAGAACAACTCCAGAAATTGTAGGTTGCTGGAACAGGATGTTGAAGCCAAGTGTTCTTTCATAAGAAATCAAATTCACTATAAAATTGTAATAGGCAGTGTACAGTGTTTAGCCTCTCCAGAGGGGAGAAGTTCTGTTTATGATTCTTCCAATCACTCGACTTCAAACACGTCATAGAATTTTTATCATTAACTTCCATGGTGGCAAGTGGGTATTTGAGAAAGTGTTTTGTAGAAACTTTCTGCAAAATTCTTAGTATTACAATTTGATGTTCCACAGACTGGAAAAAGCGAAAAACCCCAGGGCCACTTATACTACGGGTTGAATTTCTTGTGCGAGAGGTAGTATTTTATTTTTAGGTGTGTTCACAATGCATACGAGAAA